AACAAGAACTGATATGTGTACTTCTTTAATCGGATGGTTTTCTATAGAGGCGTATATCGATATCAAAAAGCTTTTGTTTTTAGGCAGGATCAGCAGAATGAATAGAAGTAACTTAATCTGCAGAGTATTCATTTTGAGGTATTTTATGTATACAGTTAATAATTATAGTCAAAAAGGTTATATACCAGACATTGTCAGATTACTAAAGAAGTATAATCTTTATGAATACATTATACAATTTCTAGATGATGGTGTTTTTCCAAATAAAATGTATTGGAAGTCATTGATTTATAAATCCGTAACAAACCATGAAACTAATACATGGATGCAAAGAATGTCTAATGACACAGACTTTACACGATTTTTATTGCTACATGACTGTCTAAAACCTCATAATTTATGGAAATTAGCCTTGCGTCACCCAAATTTTCTTGACAATATCGGATATATAATGAAATTGATTGTATCGATACGTGTAAGTAACATACAACTTTTATGTCATCATTGTGGCTATTTCTACACAGATTTTGTATCTCATGTGATTCTGCATTGTTCTGTAACAGAAAATCTTCCTGACAATTTATGCTGTATAATTGCCTGCATTTCAAGTATTGAACTCAGTTCATATCTGCATTCACTGCCTGACTATTCAGTTATTCACATTTTACTAGGAGGCCCAATGACCTATAATTTAAATGAAATTGATTTAGAAGAATTTAGACTAGAATCCGTATGTGCGATAAAAAGAATGTTTGACTTATATAGGTAATAATAATTATTACAATAATGTCTTACAAATACTTTTCATAGGCATGGTATTATCAGGGAGTACACATCCCTGGTATTATTAATATTATTATATTTATTTTTTTTTTTTTTTTTTTTTTTTTTTTTTTTACTGGCTACATAAACCAGTATTATGTCACTGATATTTAATAATATGTATATACGTTTGTGAACTTGTATGAACGTCACGATTGTTGTCATTTTGTAAATAATGTATTATTCATGTACTATCATTGTATCATGCTCTCCAATTTGGAGGAAATAAAGATGATATATAACATCTAGGAATTTTGATTAATTAACTGATTAATTAGCTGTTAAACAGCACACTCTTAGTCACACATTACAATCTTACATTTTGTACAAAGTAATGTAGGCATCTTATTAAATGTTACAATAATAAAGATTATTTAATAAATAGTTATATTGATATTTTTAAAGTACTAGAAAATGAAATAACACATTTCATCTTATCATCTTATCAGCAGCACAAGGACTACAAAATGGATATATTTAATACTGAATATATACATTTATATATATGATTAATATTTAAATAATTTTAACATTTATCATTACAAATCTGATTTTTTTTATTTAATGTGTTATTTAATTAAATATGATAAAACACCACCTTAGATAGAAGAGTTAACCACAGGTAACAACACAGGTAAACACAGGTAAATACTGCCCATATTACTTAGAAACAGACTATAATCCTTCGAACAACATTATTCCCACCCATGTTATTTTAAAAAGTGGGGGAAACGAGAACAAGCCGCACAAATGCATAAGCTCACAGGGCACTGCGGGTCAGAACTAACGGGAAACCAAAGAGGCCGCTATTAAATGATCGTGAAGTTTTGCTTTAAAAAGGTTATATGTTCCCATTATTTCTCTTTAACAGACACGTACACGTCATCATGGGTACCACAGGATTCCTTCAGTGCTTCTAAGTGACTGCAATAAAAGATCTCAACTCTAAAAATCCATGAAAAACATCTCGTGGCCATTTTTTTTTGTCAAATTCGTCCGAAATGGGAGCATCCTCAACTAGGGACCAGGGAGTTCATCATAATCATCCATTTTGCGATTTACTACAACTTTTGGAAAAATATTTTAAATGCAATACCCAAACGAATTCCATAATGGTAGCCTGGTGGCCATTTTGTTGTCATGATACACCTGCAATTTGAACAAAAACATTAGGGACATAGGGGATTGTGTCAACCAAAGATGTCCACGTCCCCTTCAGCAGTCAATAAGTTATAGCGTAACAAGCTCGACATTTAAATAGAAAAGTTCAAACAAAATCAAGATTGCCAAATAGCCTTTTTTTCCGGTTCCTCAGAATTTAAAACACCGTTAAGGATTGTCAGAGTTTCCTCTGGCTCCGACATTAGACTCGGATATCTATCTGTCAAAATGTCTAAGTTTGGTGTCGGGGCCCAGAGGAACCCACACCAGATATCTATCTGTCAAAATGTCTACGTTTGGTGTCGGGGCCCAGAGGAAACTCAAGCTACATTAGGAACTAGATCTAATAGGATCAGGAAACTTCAAAATCCAAGATTGCTGACATGAGGCCGTCATGTTTTCCAAATAAGTCTCAACATGATTCATGCAATAACAAACTTAAACTGTCAAAATCCAAGATGGCTGCCTTGCCAACATTTTACCTTTCCGATCAAAATGAAAGGGTGGACCATGGAGAGCCTTCAAATGAAATTTTGGGGAAATCTTTTCAGAGAAATAACGATAACAAGAATTGTTTAAGGAAGAACAGTCGGCAGACGGATCATGGACAATGATTTGATCAGTCCACCATCATTCAGAGTACTCTTTTTTTTCAGAAGATCTAACCATAGGCACTTGACGCTTTGTTGTCAGATTTTTTTTTTTTATATAAGTATACATTTTTTTTCCCAAAATTATTATCTGAGAATTATCTGAATAAAAAAAAGAAATGACATTTTTTTTTTTTTAAATTTACATGCATTCGAACCAATGAATTCGAATGCATGTACATTAAAAAAAATAAAAAATGTCATTTCTTTTTTTTATTCAGATAATTCTCAGATAATAATTTTGAAAAAAAAAATGTATACTTATATATAAAAAAAATAATCTGACATAACAAAGCGTCAAGTGCCTATGATCTAACAATAAATGACAAACACAGATTTATAGATCTTAAGATTTAATGATGAAAGAAAATTGCACCAGCATATACCCTTAATTCTGTAATTCAGAATCCTGAATAAACAATATGGATCTATTGATCTCAGTAACATGGTTCCCCAACACAATATCTCTGTTTGTGTTACAGAGTATTCAGTATGAACAGACAGTCTAATACATCCTTCACTCCTGAAATTTCATAATGAACTATTCCAACCTTTGAATTGGAAGAGTTCAAATGCATATTCAGGGGTGAAAGAGTTAAAGGAATAACAGAAGATATATGTAACATGTTTTTGTAACTTGTTTTACAACTTTAATAAGACCTTCTTTAAAATCTAACCGTGCTGGTCTAAATTTAGCAAATAATATAAGTATGAGAAAAAAATACAGAGTAGCATAACAAACAACACTGTCAGTGTCTTTTCTACCTGACTGTGGAAAGTGGAGCAAATATCGCATCATTTCTTAGATATTATTAATTCTTTCTCTTTATTATTGGAAATGATAACTTTTCTTCTTGGGAAAGCAATTTATTTTTGGCTTTAATACTAAACAAAACAAAACAAAATCTGACAGCTGTCATATAATAAATCCTACCACTAAAACAAGCGTCTGGTCGCTCTGTATTCCACATCAATTTAACACATGATTTCGTATGTATGCATTAGTACGCCACCTAATAGTACAATAAAACAGGGTAACCGTAAGAGCAAAGTATTCAAAAGTGTTGCCACAGTTGGCTTTGGCTTATTGCCTGCAACAAAATGGTTAAAAAGTTGTTATCTAGTACAATTGATTTCAAAGCCGTTATTGTTAATGGTCGTGACCCTGCGACCTTGACCCTCGTAACATTAGCCTGGAGGCCAGCCCATCTGTCTTCCTCCCATCACGTGGATATGGAGATGGAACACGGACTGGGCACCGTCCTTCCCGTTGTTGATCACCATACGGTAGCCATCGGCCAGTCCCTGCTCCTTAGCAACCTTCTTAGCAACCAGCAACAAGTGGCCCAGCATCTGTGGAGAAAAAATGCAAGGAAACTCATGTATACTGTTATAACTATGCACTATTTTCTGGATGAAATACAAATTTGAAGTTTCTACAAATAAGAGGCCCATGGGCCTTAACGGTCACCTGAGTCTACAGTATTTCTTTTTTTGTTGAAATATGTACCAATTTGAGTAAAAAATAGTATAATGTTAACTTAACTTTGTCAGGACCATGAGCTGATCATTCCTAGACCAATTTTAAGTGAGATCGGCCTATTAGAATTTAGTAGCAAAATAGCGGCCATGGCAGCCAAATTGTATTTCTGATTGACCCGAAAAATAACAACACTTTGTCAGGACCATGAGGCGATCATTCCTACCAACTTTCAGTTCAATCGGTCCAGCAGAACTTGACTTTAAGTTTGAAATAGGTTTTCAAAATGGCGGCCGTGGCGGCCATATTGGATTTCTGATCGACCCGAAAAATAACAACACTTTGTCAGGACCATGAGGCGATCATTCCTACCAACTTTCAGTTCAATCGGTCCAGCAGAACTTGACTTTAAGTTTGAAATAGGTTTTCAAAATGGCGGCCGTGGCGGCCATATTGGATTTCTGATCGACCCGAAAAATAACAACACTTTGTCAGGACCATGAGGCGATCATTCCTACCAACTTTCAGTTCAATCGGTCCAGCAGAACTTGACTTTAAGTTTGAAATAGGTTTTCAAAATGGCGGCCGTGGCGGCCATATTGGATTTCTGATCGACCCGAAAAATAACAACACTTTGTCAGGACCATGAGGCGATCATTCCTACCAACTTTCAGTTCAATCGGTCCAGCAGAACTTGACTTTAAGTTTGAAATAGGTTTTCAAAATGGCGGCCGTGGCGGCCATATTGGATTTCTGATCGACCCGAAAAATAACAACACTTTGTCAGGACCATGAGGCGATCATTCCTACCAACTTTCAGTTCAATCGGTCCAGCAGAACTTGACTTTAAGTTTGAAATAGGTTTTCAAAATGGCGGCCGTGGCGGCCATATTGGATTTCTGATCGACCCGAAAAATAACAACACTTTGTCAGGACCATGAGGCAATCATTCCTACCAACTTTCAGTTCAATCAGCCCAGCAGAACTTGACTTTAAGTTTGAAATGTAAAATGTTAACGGACGACGGACGCCGACGGACGAAAACGGATAGCAATAGGTCACTTGAGCTAAAGCTCAGGTGACCTAAAAATGTAAAGGACCGAAAAAAATCATTTTGCTATACATACATAAAGACTGAATATTAATTCTTGAGACTGTATGATGTTCATGGGAAAAGTTAATCAGAGAGGATAAAATTATGAGTTTGTTTCAAGCAATTATATAACTTTACCTGCTTATTATTCACTTTATTATCATCTACCATGGAGATGACCTTACCTGTTTATTATCCTCTACCATGGAGATGACCTTACCTGTTTATCATCCTCTACCATGGAGATGACCTTACCTGTTTATAATCCTCTACCATGGAGATGACCTTACCTGTTTATTATCCTCTACCATGGAAACCTTACCTGTTTATTATCCTCTACCATGGAGATTACCTTACCTGTTTATTATCCTCTACCATGGTGAAGACCTTACCTGTGTATTATCCTCTACCATGGAGATGACCTTACCTGTGTATTATCCTCTACCATGGAGATGATCTTACCTGTGTATTATCCTCTACCATGGAGATGACTTTACCTGTTTATTATCCTCTACCATGGAGATGACCTTACCAGTATATTATCCTCTACCATGGAGATGACCCTACCTGTTTATTATCCTTTACCATGGAGATGATCTTACCTGTATATTATCCTCTACCATGGAGATGACCTTACCTGTTTATTATATTCTACCATGGTGATGACCTTACCTGTGTATTATCCTCTGTAGCGTTTTCTACCATGGAGATGACCTTACCTGTTTATTATCCTCTGTAGCATCCTCTACCATGGAGATGACCTTACCTGTTCATCCTCCTCTCCAGCATCCTCAATGGTTGCGATAGCCTTCCGTGGGATCACAAGGAAGTGAACTGGTGCCTGGGGACCCATGTCTTTGAAGGCCACACACTGTATAAACACAGAAGATAACAATTGTTAAAGGGATGAAAGGATTGCAGCAAGCATGGAACTAGGACAATAGTTAAAGAAACAAGGGGAGACAACTACACTTTACATAAAGAATGGAAACAACTGTAATTAAGACATGACAGAAAGCAGACAATGTTGTATTCGCAAGGGAGACAATTGTGTTATAACAGAATTGGAAGAAACACAGGTGTAAAGTTTACAAGGGAGGCAACTGTGATATAACAGAATTGGAAGAAAGACAGGTGTAAAGTTTACAAGGGAGACATCTGTGTTATGAAAGAAGAAGGAAGACAAATGTAATCAAATGTAGGCAAAGAAAGGAGACAAATAATTCATGCATATTTGAATAACACACTTTATTACGATTGGTTGATTGGTTTCCTTGCAATAACTGCATTTAAAATAGTCTTATTTCAATTAGATTAAGTAATAACAAGAGGCCCATGGGCTTTAACGGTCACCTGATATATTTATACAGAGAGTTGATTTTGTTTTTTACATGAACAGAAATATTATTCAAAGTGACAAAAAACAATAAAACCACCTAAACTCAATATCTAGCATACAGATTTCAGACTAAAAAGGATTTGAAACTAGCACCTCTGATTCTTAACAAGGAAAATGAAGAAATTTTAGCACACTGACTCCTTTGAGCCCCACCCTACAGCCCTTGGGGGTAGGGCTGGCTCAAAATTTTCAAAGTATCAAACTGTCAATTCAAGGTTATAATTCCAATCAAGTTATTAACATGTAATATTCAAAGTATCATTTGCCATTATAAACCATAATAAATTT